GCTTGAATATAAACTCAAAATTCGCATTCAATTATTCGCTCAAGGATTTTATTGAAATTAACTCAGTTTTAAACAATGAGTTAAATTAAAGTATATTTTATTAAATATATGAATCGATGGATCCATGTAACAATAAATATCGTTGGGACCCACCGCCTTATAGTATGGTCAATGTTTAAATAATAACTAGTACAGAGCCCGTGCGATGCATGAGGTGCACAATTTTGAAGTGAGTTAAATTAAAGTATATTTTATTAAATATATGAATCGATGGATCCATGTAACAATAAATATCGTTGGGACCCACCGCCTTATAGTATGGTCAATGTTTAAATAATAACTAGTACAGAGCCCGTGCGATGCATGAGGTGCACAATTTTGAAGGTCATTTATCTATTCTTATAATTATATAAATGAATAAAAAAAATGTACGAGATATATATAGTACGTGACCTGTAATAGGCCCAAATGTGAACACGAGTGATGCACGGGGTGCACAATTTTAATGTCATTTATTAGTACAGAGCCCGTGCGATGCACGGGGTGCACAATTTTCTAGTATGTGTAATAAAAATACATACCGTATGCATGGGACAGAAGAACTAAATGAGTTATTTCCACAGAGTTTGCCCGTTAAGTAGCTCCTGAACACGTGTGAATCAGAACAGATTTTCATACAATTAGATAATAAATTAGATAATAAATAAAGTCTTTTTATTTTAGTAAAGATTTTACGTACTTTGTTTTTTTACTTATCCGATGTTATGATATTTTTTTTTGTTAAACCGATTTTATGGAATATAATACAAATACAATTAGAGGATTTAACAAAATCAGAACAGATTTTCATACAATTAGATAATAAAAAAAATTAGATAAGGAAAAGAAAGAATTAGATAAGAAAAATAAGGAATTAGATAAATAATTTTGAATTTGACTTTTTTTTGGATAGATAGACTTTACGAACAAATTTTGACTTCACTGATTTTATGAGATTTATTTTGACAAAATCAATGTTAATATGTAATAAGACAAATAAATAAAGTCTTTTTATTTTAGTAAAGATTTTACGTCTTTTTTTTTGACTTGTCAGATGTTATGGGATTTTTTTTCTTAAACTTATTTTATGAGATATAAGAAAAATAAATAAAATAATTAAATAAAATTCTGGATAGAAATAGCAATGCATTAATTATGTTACCTTTTTAATCTACTAAATTTGGTAAATATGATACCTTATATAATAAATATAGATACAAATAAATAACATGCCAAAATTTTAAAGAATAATTAATGTATTTTAATTTATTATCTAGCCATCAATAATATCATTTAATGATGTGATCATTATTTCTTAAATGATAAATAAAAATTTAAAAAAAATATTTGATTTTTTTATACTCAAATAAAAATTAAAAAATACTATCGACAAATATGAATAATAATATATATCAGTAAAATCATTGCAGAAGTTAATAAAATTATTTAAGGAAAGAATCTTTTTGATCATATTTGAATATGAAATGTATATATGCAAACAATTCATGTACATAGTAAAAAATTTCCAAAAAAAGTATGCATTAAATGTGAGTTCACTTTTCTTGCTACTATTTGTGGTAAATAGTATGACTTTTAATATAAGTATAGATGGTGGCGGTTGGACAAAGTTTGTACTTTGTAGTATGTGTTTAGTTTAGCCTTCTATGAATTCATCAAAGGCCAATGAACAAACAAGATGAGTCAATGGCTAATTGAAAAATGTTTTTCTTAATGTTGATGTTAGGCTAACATTGAGAGGTAATCATATTTAAAAATAAAAATGCATATTTCAATTATGAAGTATATATATCGTATTTAAAATTTTTAATAGATATATTACATTGCATAATATAAATAAGCGATAGAGGCCTACCAAATAACTCTGATTTTCCAGTGACACGTTCTCTTTGAATCTCCTAGTTAATAAGTCTGATAACCTAATAGATGAAAATAAAACTGGTGATATGCAAAACCAAGACCGAGAGGTGCTCCCGACGTTAGCAATCTGACGATCAATTTGCCCTTGGTATGTCTTTGGCATTGGAAAAGGACAAGGATTTTAGAATAGATCTAGCTCCTTCCTCGGTTGAGCCTTTTCGCTACTGAGATGAGGAAGATACTGTGGTTGAAATGCTTAAGAGATCATATAAAAAAGAAGAAGAAGAAACTCCAATCATAACTCACTCTTATTTATATTGTAATTACCTCAATGTCCAATTAGTTGTGTGTCCTGATGTTCAATAATTCTTGTAGTCTAAGAACTCCACGAAAGTATTAACTTGTGTCCAAGGGTTGCACGAGAATCGTCCTTATCTGTTGCATGGGTAGATCCATAGCCCATCCAGGTGAGGGCCTATAC